GGACAATTTGTGCCAGTCTTCTCCATTCTTCCCCTTTTAACATCTGTGTGATGGATGTAGAGCTAAACTGATGCGTATGTTAAAAAAAAACTCTGGAAGCAGAAGCATGTAGATGAGCAAGTTCCAGCAGAGCCACCTGTGGAGGCAGCTCATACTGTAGCCACCTTTATTTATTTTATAAGCACTTGTATGCACGGGTGATATGGAGGCACTCACATTCCTCATGCACAAAAACTAATTAACTGGTATGGGGGCAGTATTAGGGAGAAGCACACACCTTTAATTCTGACAGACCAGTGCAGCCGTTAATCGAAACGCTCATCTGTAATAATTTCCTCCATGATCTGTGGTTCCCTTTTCTCTGTGGCATCACTGAAGATAACGGGGACTGTGATGTTGTACACCACAATCAGGAAGAAAAGTATGAGTCCTTAATAGCAGTAACAATTTTATTTCCTGAAATAACTTTTGTCAGTAAAGTCAAAGGTCAAGGATCTGGACCCGGCTATCTTATCTTGTAGTAGATTTTATATACCTGATCTCATACAGTGTGTGTTTCTTTGCATGGGAGCTTTTCAAAAGGCTACATCAGTAAATTTTCACCTGTAGAGTGAAAATTCTCCTCCTTTCACCTGCAATTGGCAGAGCTGCTCTGTCTTATACTTGAGGCCACACCTGGAGTATTGTGTCCAGTTCTGGGCACCTCAATACAAGAGAGATATCAAGGTGCTGGAGCGAGTGCAGAGGAGGGCAACGAAGCTGGTGAGGGGGCTGGAAAACAAATCATATGAAGCCCTAGGGGCTGAAGGAGCTGGGGCTGTTTAGTATGAGGAAGAGGAGGCTGAGGGGAGACCTCATCACTCTCTACAACTACTTGATAGGACACTGTAGAGAGGTTGGTGCTCGTCTCTTCTCACAGGTAATTAACGACAGAACAAGAGTGAATGGCTTCAAGCTCCAACAGGGTAGGTTTAGACTGAACATTAGGAAGGAATTTTTCACAGAGAGAGTGGTCGGGCATTGGAACAGGCTGCCCAGGGAGGTGGTTGAGTCACCATCCCTGGATGTGTTTAAGGGACGTTTAGATGCGGTACTGAGGGATATGGTGTAGGGAAGGACTTTGTAGAGTAGGGTAGAGGGTTGGACTCGATGATCCCAAGGGTCTCTTCCAACCTGAATGATTCTATGATTCTATGATTCAATGATTCTTCGGACTGTGCAATCTTCACCTCATTAAGATTATTTAGTGCTCATGGAGCCCATCACAGCTTTGAAACTGATGAGGTCAGCTTCTTGATGGTTCCTCCTAGAGAAAAAATCATGCTAGGGAAGGGATTTTTCTGGTGCTTCTGTGTTGATAAAATGGCCCCTTGAAGATACTTCCATTTGTTGCAGATGAGGGACAAGCCAAACTGTTCATTTTGCAAAGGAATGGACCAACGTAAAGTGTTACAGTCCTTCAGTAGCGTCAGTGTAAAGACAGCCATCTTCACTTCAGCTACTGATAAAATATTCCTTGGACTGCCTCGGTTAGCCTTTGGCTGGCACACTTGTAAGAGCTCACAGGCGTTTCTGCTCAAGGGAGCTGTGAAACAATAAATTCTAGCTAGTGGGTCTTAATAAACAGCCAGAAACTTAGGTATTCAGATATTCCTAAATGTGATGCTTGGATGCGTCCACACAGTAGCTTTGAACTTTATTTATGCTTAAAATTTACTTGTCCTGACACCAGACACAGAAATTCATTTTGCTCTGAAGTCGGTTGAAATCTTAAATTATTACTCTGGGGACAGGGTCCAACAAATAGCTTGCAGTATACAGGAGAAAACAAAACTTACATGGAATGCACAAGAACAAGCTAGTTTCATGGCAAGAACATACGGTTAATAAGACTTCCCCTTTGGGCCAAGCCCTGGCTGATACAGAAGGACACAGAGGATGCTCTGCTTTTAACACGTGTGCAATAATCTATCAGTATTGAAGCAAGTTTCATGAATTTTTTAGGATAGAAAGGACGAAGTCTACAAGCAGTACAGCATAATGGGAACTCTTGACACTGAGATCTGTGTGAATGAATGCAGAAGGCAAATGCGACTTGACTGAGCATTTATTTTCCCCTCTCTTCAATGTGAATGTTGTTTCTTTGAAGTAACATTAGCAAAAGCAATTCAGAGCCCAGATATGTCTACACAGCACTGTTACTGCTTCACAGCAACTTTTGCTGCAGCAAAAAAAAATTGGAAGACCTTTTACCTTGATACAGTGCTTTTCATCTTCAAAGCACTTTCACAAATACACTCCAGCTAATATGAACATCCCTTGAACGCAGTTAAGGTTGATTATCATCACGATTATGAACTTACAGGAGGGACAGGATTTAAATTACTTAAATGCACAAAAGCATTTGATGTCAGAAGCGGGATTAAAACTCAAGGGTCACTATGCGCTAATTATCTGCCCACAACACTAGACCCTCTTCTCCCAACCCTGGTTTGCACCATGAAGAATTATCTTCTTATACATAGGCTGTTTTCTATATTTAACTAAATAATATGCTACTTGTGTAATTAAAGTGCTTCTTACACAAACGAGAATGCTTCAGTTCATTTGGCCAAGATTCCTCAGCTCTGTCAGGCACAAGGCCAAAACTGTTAGGCAGTTGCAGGGACCTTAAACTGTCAGACCTTGCCACCAGCACTTCCCAGGAGGAGAAGGTCTTCAGGAATTGACTACCTGCACACTTTCACCATGATTCTCTCGAGGCATGAACAAATGACACTTCACAACTAAGTCAGAAGGGCCTTAATCTGGTGTATAAATGATTTGTTCTCATCTAAAGGTTCTTTTGTATTTTTTGGGTGGTGTAAGGTGTAAATGAGACTTAGTTCTTATGCATTACTTTAACTTAAGCCAAGGAAACATGGCCCATGAGACAGAGCCCCCTGACATATTGAGAAATCAAAGCAGAGAGACTCCGAGTCCTGGCACATCTATTTTATTTTTGAAAAAATTAAATGAAACTCCACTAAATGATTAATTTTTATTCAGATAAATCAATTTACATTCAATCATTTAGAATATGAAATACAAAGTGCACCCTCTGGGAAAATACAAAGCCATTATTTTATTTCAAGGATTTCTATAATGTCAGAATTGGAATTGTGAACTGAAATTGCAACATCTCTGGTAATTCTGTAACCAGTGTCTTTTTAATAGTGATGTTTATTGGTGTTCATAATGTTTTCCTAAACGTTACGGTGGTGGTTTTCGTGGGGTGGTATTTGTTTCCAATTTCAGATGGCTGCAGTGGAAAGCTGATTATCCACAATGATAAATGCTGCCTTAAGAATCTCTACATTACAGTTTACTGATGAACAGTAACAGAAACAGCTTCCATCTCTCAGTCCTGTAACAGGATTTTAATTTTAAAATATTCAGAACTGAGTTACCAAAAACATACTGTCTACAGAAATTAAAGCATTTAAAAATGTTTGTTTCACAAAGCAGTATTTCTTACCTGTTGTTGAACAGTTAAATCACTTTCAAGACTTTAATGCATGTATAGCTTGACCTAGGTTATAATCTGGTGTGAGTAATGGGAATTCACTAGCTGTTGATATACAGTGAGTTCAGTGGAAGTAGTGCAAAATTTCATTCTGATACAGGTTTTTCTTACTATTTAACTGCTAAATTGAAATTAGCATGGTATTAAATTTGAAAAGGTATAGTTTTTCATCCTCTTTTTCTGACTCGAGTATAAGCTGTCACCCACTGTCTGAAATGTGACAAAACAGTGTCCCAGACTTGACATCTTTGGAAACCCCATCTAATGAAGCTTCTTTGGATCTTCCAGCTCAACATTTCTTGAAGTATCCATGTCATTAACAATTCACCTTGATCAGGCTTTTCTGCTTGCTGTTGCATGTTCAGATTTACTCTGGATGTAAACAGAGCTTTACATAGAGCAATACCCCTACAAAGCACATATAGTACACAGAGTCCATAAGCAGAATTTGGAAAGGCAGTACCTCTCTGGACAGAGACACTACCAAACTCCCATTGGGACAGCCTGAGCAAAAGCAGCTAGCTCAAGTTTTAAACTACAGTAAGAAAGGACTCTTTTAACTTCTGGTCCCCAAGAGTTCAAATAGTGACTATTTCCCCACTATTTAAATGAAGTAAGCCCTCATATTAAAAAAAGAAGCAAAAAATAAACCACAGTGTCTTCGGGAAATCGGTAGGTGGTCTGGCTGAAATACTGACCATCTGAAAATCAGTTTTCAGAGAGACTGAGACAATGCTTAGCATTTTCAGCACACACTTACACATTCAAGTAGATAAAATATTTCTATTGTACCATGCCATTTGTGGAATACCGTTTTCTGGAAGCACAGCCTAACTTGGGAAAGTATTTACATAACCACCAGCCGCAGCGAAAGCTTGGGGCTGCAGCTCAGAATTATTGAAAGAAAGCAGAATGGGTACCCTGGCTGCCATTTCAGGAGGCATTTAAACACGGCAGCACTCTTCGCTGACTTAACAGAAGTAGTGCCAAGATGAAAGCTTTTTTTAAAAAAGTATTAAGACCTTCACTGAGGGTACCTTTCAAGGATGTAATAACATTTTGGGGCTTACAGGTAATAGCTATGCTTCAAAAGCAGGATGGGGACATTCTGATGAGGCCACCAGCAGGGAAGTGTAGGAGCAAGTGTATTCACAGGAACACTCAGAAACAATGGGGTGGCAACACCCATCCACTTCTGGAGAGAAGATATCCTGGGGG